TATGATAGAATATTAGTAACATACGAATATCTTCTACTCTTAACGGCCATGTTTCACAGCCATATAGGAGAACTGAGCCTACTACTGCGCAGTACACCCGTCCTTTGGTTAGCAAGCGGATATCTCGCCTACGCCATTAACGGCGTAAATTGGCAAAATTAAATCGAGCTTTCTGTATCCGCGCTGAGATTTCGTTAGCCACCAGGCCATTGACTCCCCAGATAAGTGAAGTGATCAACACGCTCGACTACTTCATTCCCTATCACTAGTTCAGGTGCCGATGCAACCCAGCCTTGAAGCAACATTTTGCATTTCGAGGGAGAAAACCGCACCGCGACACATGCTTGCACTGTTGCTTATGGTAGTCAGAAGATTCTGCATTTTGTCAGTGTCTCCACCGAATAGAACTATGTCATCGGCATATTCTAGGTCAGTAAGCGATTTTCCTGGTAGCAGGTCCACCCCTGAGAAATCTGACGAGCTTAATGATAGCTCTAAGAGGATGTCTACGACAAAGTTAGACAAGACTGGAGAGAGTGGACAGCCCTGATGAACACCACTTGATGTACAGAATTCCGATGACAGTTCACCATAAGCTCTCACCCGACCAGTGGTGTTCGAGTAGAGAGCTTGTATAAGGTTAATGTACTTCTTTGGTACACCTTTCAATGACAGACACTGCCACAGAACCTCACGATCCACTGAGTCAAATGCCGCTTTTAGGTCCAGGAAGACAACTATTGTCGGACGTCTAAATGTGTGTCTGTGTTCCAGAACCCTTTAAAATTCTAGAGCCATTTTAAGCCAATGGTTAACATAGAGCATTTCCCCTATTAACCAATGTGGACTTTTCGCATCCAACAAGTTGGATGTCAGCATTTCCACCCCTTATTTTCATAAATAACATCCAACTATAGAGTAGAACTTTCCTGTTAAAGGCTTATAAAACGAATGACCGAACAGGAAACAACTCTCCTCACTGTCAGCTACACTACGGTATTTTATTTATAGGGGATGAGTACAGTACCACAACATGTTTTGCACAACAGTTCAGCTACATATTTTTCTTACAAACAAACAATAACAAAATGCATGCAAAAAAATCAGATTTGAAACATCATTTATTCATCGATTAAAATGGGCATACATTTTTTACATTGGTTTATGGATAATATTCTATTGGCCAATTCAATGGTTACAACGTTGGGTGCTTGAACAACGTCGATTGTGGATTTATGATAATCTAGTTGAATTTAAACAACCTCCAGCACATGTTTATTTGAATCAATCGAAAAATGAATGGTGATTATTGATGATTATTTCAAGCTTGATGAAATAATGTTTTGTAAATTTGCATAGACTGTACATTCATCTGATCATGATGTGTGTATATGTATTTATTGATCGAAAGTGCTTTTTTTAATGAGAAAATACAACTGATTAATTTGTTCTACTCTTTTTATTACTACTTATTCACTAATAAAAACAGTTAGTTATGTACATCGACGAGCAAGACAGGTATGTCGTAACAGTCAAAGTTATTGTCAGTCGGTCAGTCAGTCACCGACAATGTAGAACTTCGTATGTACGTATATCAGTTCGGGTCGCCATACCCAATTAGCACCCGGAGCCGCAATTGTCAATTCAAATAGCATAGTAATAGGGGTAGAAGAAGGATTAGCGGTAATCAATCGGATTAATTATCAAAGATATCATTCAAGATGTATACATCCCAGAGGAATATTTGTGAAAACACAAAGAATGAATGTATCTGCGCCATTGCAAACGATTTTAAGCCATGTCATTCGGCTCCTCTAATCATTGGTCACCATCACCTGGCGGACCCTAACCAGGTAGTCTACATTTACTAACATGACTTAATCCAGTTGTCAGTGAACTCATACATTTGTGTCATGTTTTGGTTTGGCCGCTCATAGCAGCTGTCTTTCAACCGAATCGTACACCACAAAACATAGCACGACGAGGCAGTCGGTTGTTGGACATTCGTAACCCATATCCTAACCACATCAACTGATGGAGTTTCAAAACTTCATCTATGGACTTATCATCATTATCGAGTACTCGATTATCTTAGGATATACAAGCAATGCTTCTCAGATACCGATTATCGAATAATAGTAGCTTACGAATATTCTCTATTCTTACTGACCATTTTTCAAACCAGTAAATTAAAGCAGAGCGATGTGCTGGACAGTAAACTCATACTTTGGTTAGTACACGGATATCTCGCCTACGCCATAAGTGACGCAAGTTGCTAAAAGCTAATTGAGCCTTCTGTATTCGTGCTGCGATTTCGTCAACCACCTGGCCATCGGCACTGATCAGTCTCCCCAGACAAGTGAAGCGGTCAACAGGCTCAACTGGTTTACTCCCTATCACTAGATTAGGTACCGATGCAACTCAATCATGAAGCAACATTTTACATTGAGAGGGGGAAAACCACATCCTGATCATGCTTGCATTGTTGCTTATGGTAGTCAGAAGACTATGCATTTGTCAGCATCTTCACCAAGTAGAACTACGCAATCGGCATATTCTAAGTCAACAAGCGAGTTTTCTGATAGGAGGTCCAGTCCTGAAAAGTCAGTTGAAGACAAAGCATGTCTACGACGAAATTAAGCAAGAATGGAGAAAGTGGACATCCCTGACAGACACCACTTGAAGTAATCCATTAGGATGACAGTTCGCCATAAGCTCTAAATAGACTAGTAGTGTTCGAGTAGAGAGAGAGCCTATATAAAGGTTTGTGTACTTCTTCTATGATGCTGCTTTTATTGACGGACAGTGTCATCGAACCTAATGATCGATCAAAATACATGAAGCATTATTTGAATTCTGATTGATTAACTCAAAACCATCATTTTTACCATAATAATTATGTAATTGTATTCTCGTCAATTTTTGTTTGTTTAATTTTCGAATTTGTTTCATTTAACACTTTGTGTTGTTTTGATTTGTGTGAAGAAGAAGAGGTTGATCGTTTCTTAGTTCCTGACGCTGTTCTATTCATTGACTTCATGTTAGAAAGTTTCACTTCGGTTTGATTTAATAAGTGTGATAGACCGGCGGAACGTATTCCTTTTAATAATTGTTCACGGGCATATTTTAATTCTGTTGATAAATGTTCAATTTCTGGAGCATTCAGTAAAGCTGGAATTAGTGTAGATCGAAGCCAACGTGGACTAGAATGATCATCAACCACAGCCAAACCACACAAAATAAAACAAAGAGTATTAAGAATAAATATTAACCTCTGTCTAATTAAAAAAATCAGTCACATTATAATTGTTATGTTTGTTAAATGTCAAATATTGATCAAATACTACTGTTCGAGTTGACCAACAGACTATCAATCAGCAAGCACATCAATATTGACCCAATTTATCAACCAATCAGCAAAATCATAGGTGACCTAGGATCAACAAACAGATCAAACGGGGGATACAATCAAAACAAAGGTGCAAACAACGACTGGTTTACGGTCAACAGCAACCAATCAAGATTGAGGTTAGTAGAACAGGCTACAGGCCAAACGTGAAGAAATTCGAATCTTTTACTTCCTCTATCTGACGTTTGTGATGATAATGTTGTTCAGAAGAACAATGAAAGCTTTACAATCAAAATATACAGCTCAGAGAACGAAACATCACCATAGACTATGGTTACTGTATATATTGTGGAATACAAAACTGACCATTCAAGGATAAAGAGTGTCTTTAACTTCAAGGATATTCCTACCGTCTTTGTAGTTTCAACTTGCTTCATCCAATAAATGTTAACATTAGACTCTTTAACTCACGAATAAATTATTAGTAGTCCGCAGTGCGATCCCACTACCAAACATTAGGCAGAGGTGTTCAGTCTTATCTCTTTTCAATGGACCTGAATGGTACGGTAGAATCCAAAAGAAACAAGTTTTTCAGTCAATATAGCTCGATCATATCTTAATAGTCGTTAGGTAAGAGATCACCACTTTATTGTGACAACTATAGTCGAACTAAATGGTGCAGTTGGTTTGATTGCAATGGCATTCTCCACACATGCTTAAAAACAAGAGTCCTCTGTTTTGTTTGACCAACATTGTTAGGATATTCATCAAATATCCTAAGAGAATTATTTTCTAAGTCTAATTCTATTGGTAAGTTCGTATTGGTTAATTCCCATTGGTCATACTAACTATCAATGTCACTTCGAATATTGTGTCTTATTAGTCGTCCTAACCATCAATGTCACATACTTCAAATGTTGTAACCTACTCGACCTAAGTGTATAAAAATGCATTGTCTGTGTTACGCTCGTCTCTAGGTATGCATAAACTATTACGAGTTTACCTTAGTCAAATAACGAGAACAAAACAATGAACCAGCGTCCAGGTAGGCTACTGTGATCCTTGTTCTACAAACACCCAGCCAGCATACAATGAATCCAAGCACTCAAATTGTGTTTATTTATACTATATAGAGACGTCGTTAGGACAGTCACAAAAATAGCACATTAAAATAACACAGTAACCAATCACAGCCAAGGATTTTCCTGGTGGGAAATGTGATCTTAAGGTCAACTGATCGGTCCATGAAATAAATCCAAAATAAAGATATTTGTCAAGCGTGTTCTGGGGATCTAACATCGCCATCAGTCTAACATTTTATGATCCGGATCTTTAGTCCGGAACCTTTATTCTCTTCTGGATCTCATATTTTCTGGATGATTGTAGAATACATTTTCTACTTCATATCAAGTCTTCTCCTTCTATTTATTTGGGGTTTAGGAAACTCGGATTAGAGTAGCCTGCCATGTCGCCGATTAATCGGTCCTCACTCTAGTTTACCGACTACGGTGAACTCATAATAGTTCAAGCACATCAATTGACGTGGTGAAACTGTCAATCGTAACAAACATACAAAAATGATACTACACAATGCAACAAAGGACATAATTAGAAAATTGATTGAAAACAGACTTCAGTTGCAAGTACTTACCGAAATAGATTTACTTCATTCCATTCTGACGGTAGACGACATTTATCAATGTCATCATTACCAGTGCGAACACTATTTTGTGTTGCAATTTCATTTAACCAACTTAGAACATCACTCCAACCAGGAGTGGTACAAATATTATCGTAATCAGAGGCCTTTTTATCTATCAGCATAACTTTTTTTGTACAACTGTGTTCCTGGAAGAAGAAATTGAAATGAAAAATATATTCTCTGTTTTTGTAATAAGTCACTATGATCAAATAATATGTAGATACACACAAGCATTTCGGAAAAGTCAGTCAGCTAAAACGTAAAAACTTCGCATGCCTATACATCAGTACAAGGTATACATTTGCTTTTTGTCCTATCGATTTAGCAAAATAACACTTAAATTACAAGAAGTCAGTTAGTTATGAGATGGTGAAGAAGATTTGTAGCTCAGGTGGATGATACGGTGTTAAGCATAGATCGATCGACCTATGCTTAACAACGTATTTTCAGTTCAACAACAGGGTCTACAAACAAACAAAAGGAACACCAACGGGATCACCAATATCAGGACTCATCGTGGAATCTGTAATGCAGAGACTAGAAGCGTCGATTTTACCAGTGATCAAGCCAAAAATGTGGGTTCGCTATGTAGACGATGAATTCGTCATCATCATAAAGAACGAGCTGGAGAACATCTACAATCAGATCAACAACGTCTTCGATGACATTAAATTCACGATGGAAAAGGAATCAAACAACAATCTATCATTCCTGGATGTACTAATCACCAGAACTAACGCAGGAAAACTGGAAACTCAAGTATTTCGGAAACCAACCCACACAGATGTGATTCTTAACTACGACAGCAACAACCCAAGAACCCACAAAATCAACTGCATACAAACTTTGTTCAAGAGAGTGAAGACACACTGCAGCACATACGAAGCGCTAAAAAACGAGGAAAAACACCTTGTGACTATCCACGCAACTTCATCAAAAAACATCAACAGAAGCGAAATGAAGCACAGGAACCAATAAACGGATCATCCCACCATACATAAAAGACATATCGGAGCACACAGCACGACTACTGAAACCATTTTGAATAGGTGTGGCACACAAACCAACAGAATCACTTCAATCAATCCTATGTAGACCAAAGGACAAAATGACAAAGGAAAAAAAACCAAATATCATCTACAAAATAAATTGCTCAGACTGTGAAAAACGCTACATAGGACAAAGTGGACGGCCGCTTCAGCCTTGTTTACGTGAACACAAATTAGCAGTCAAACGCCACGACAACGCTACGCTTATATCAATACACACCGACAATTATGGACACACATTCGATTGGAACAATGTGGAAATACGGGGTAGGGGGAGGACAAAGAACACTAGGGAATTTTTAGAAGCTTGGCACTCAGGTCAATCAGTAATCAAGAAACACATCGACATTGACCCAATTTATCAATCAATCAGAAAAATCATAGGTGACATAGGATCAACAAACAGATCAAAAGGGGGATACAATCAAAACAAAGATGCAAACAACGACAGGTTTAAGGTCAACAGCAACCAATCAAGATTGAGGTTAGCAGAACAAGCTACGGGTCAAACGTGGAGAAATTCGAATGCTTCACTTCTATCTGAAGTTTGTGCTGATGATGTCGTTCAGAAGAACAATGAAAGCTCCACAACCAAAATACCCAGCTCAGAGAACCAAACACCACCACCACAAATTACAAGAAGCCAGTTAGTTAGTTTGTAAGCCATCTTTGACCATTGCCTGTATCAGTCAGTTACAACGTAGAACTTCGTACGTAAATAAATCAGTTCAGGTTGCCATAACACATTAGCACAGAGATGCGATTGTCAAATCAAATCCCATAGTGGTGCAGATAGAAGTATTACTGGTAATGGATGAGTTTTTGAGCATCCATCAGTTCGGTAGATGCTACTGTGATACACAGCTTCATCCTAACATAATGGTTTACCTAACTAGCAGATACCACTGTTGTTTCCACAGCTTTTTGGATATCATGCCAAGCTACTTCCTGATGAGGATCACTTACATGGTCGCTTAACTGTCTTCGTTGTTGTTTCTGATATATATTCATAGCTGTGCTTTAATCTCTTTCGGTGACTGATAGAGATGTTATCAAGATGGTTCCAGACCATCGCCCGTATAGAAATGACTGATCATGTAATGAAAGCAAATTCAAAAAGAGAAGAGCATTGGCTAACCATTACAAAATTATTCAAACTTAATCTTAATTCAGCTAATCGTCCTTGTGCAATTTCACAATAATCATTCCATCGACTGATACAAGATTCGATATACATCTCAAGATTGTCATGATTATTATTCTTGTTATCATTGTCATCATGGATGATATTGTTTGTATAGTCTAAATCCATTTCAAGTATTTCGTCTACAGTAGCTTTAATATGAATTTCATTGATATGCATTTTTATTCGATTACTGCTTGATTTTTTCATTAGACTAAACCAATTCAGTTGAATTTTTAAAAATTTCACATTTCTTTCAAAAGGCAACAAATCAATGAGTAAATTACAAAAATACACCACAGCACAACGTGATGATATGATATTTTGTGCAAGAGATGCAGAAGAAAGATGATGATGATCATTGCTACGTATTGCCGATGCAGATGTTGATGATGAAAACGGTGTACAAAATGTTTCTAACCACCATTGTTTATAATTTATCCCAGTTAATCGATAATCTTCTGAGCATAATTGACGTGCGATAAGTAGAATGACTATGAATAATTGTTGATCGTGTTTATCAATTGCTGATAAATCGGATTGTGTTGTAGGCATGAACAAATCATCTAATAAGTGTAAATTATCTAAATCAATCTGTTTATTATTGGCATGATTGATACTTGAGTGAAATAATAATAATAAAAGTTGATGAATAATAACTGTATAGTGTAGTGTTTGTATCGTTGATGTGTTTTGTGAAAAAGTAAAATGATAAGAGAATGATCAGTAACAGTCGAAATAGAAAAATTAACAATATGAATGAGAAACATCATCAGTAAGTGTACACACTACCCTTTGGGCAGGAATCAAACTCAGGACCATGAATCCTGAATCGACAATGACTATGTAATTAATAGTGACTAGCTTCGCGAGGGGAATCACAGGGTTTTAGTGAGAAACCGTGACCAGCGGAGTTTAATCGTGTCAGGTATGAGGTGGCTACATACCGAAGATTTTAGTGGTCAGTCGTTGGTTTTGCAACAACGTAGAACTTCGTACGTACATCAGTTCAAGTTGCCATACTATAGTCACACAGAGAGGTAATTGGGGACTACAATCTGATTCTATTTTAGACGAACGACTTGATATGCTGTGAAACCAATTTCCTATAAAATTTTCAGTTTTCATGCATAGGTCAACACGGTTCGTGGGACGGTAGTTATAGAAAATCAAATCGAGATTTAGTTCAGTGAGTGCATTTTATGTAATCGTTCATGCACTGAGAATATAAAGCGTAAAAGCAAAGTGGAGAACGTGAATGAAGCAACTCAATGTGATCAGATATGACTAAGTATTTATAGTCAGACAAAAATAAGCTTAACAAGTAATAAGCAAAGTAATCATGCACTGTTACTTAAGTCCGTTACCCTCAGTGTAACATAGGCCACTGACCAGCATTCTCCAACCTACCCTATCTTGAGCCTTCCTTCTTAGTTTTGTTCAACTGCTCATCATTCTCCTAATGCCTGCCTCTGTTTCCCAATGTAATGAGTTTTTCGGCCTCCTTATTTTCTTTCGGCCTCCTTATTTTCATTCGGCCTTGAGGATTTTAGCTGAGGGCTGTGCGTGATCGGCCTCAAGCAGCTGTCTCTTGGGATATGTGGTCACGCTAACAGGCCTTTAAGACCAACGCTAATATACCTTCCTTTTTAGGTTCTGCATGAAACACCTACGGCATGAGCAGCTGGAAAGTGACATCCACCCTCATTCCCGTAGCAACACAACAGACCAAATAAGTCAAATTCAAAAATTCATTCCACACATACTTGTATCACATAAAACAAACTTACATTTAACAGTGGTTACACCTCCTTTGACACATGTACTCATAGCAGATATCAATTGAAGAATATGAGACTTATTTACACAATCTAAATTATTATTGGATAAAGTGATTAAAAAACGTTCAGATATGAAGTTTAAATCTAATAAAACAATAAACTGTTGTTGAACTTTTTTTAAACATCTCCAAAGAATAACTTACATGTATAATAGAATATCACTCGTATGGATTTATTTCCATTAGAGTTAAATATTCCCTTTGAAAGTATTCATATACTTATTGTTATTATAAAAATATATATATATTTCTAAGTGTATACTTGAATTGTTTGATTTTGTATGTAGAAACTCTTCGAATAGATTTTCAATAGAATGTTGAATCTCTTCACTTGTATGAATACTACATAATAATTTGTAAATTGTATGATGAACTGTTTCCCAATCTAAAGATAAAATAACAAGAACACGAATAATAAGGAGAGTTTGTTGTGTAGGAGGTAACTCAAGGTCTGAGAGCGAAGTGATACTGCATATTGTACAGTGGACTGCTTTAAGAAAAGACTTGATAATCACGTACTCATATGCGGACTATCATCTCCCTCTTGGACAAGCTGTTCCTGATGCATATCTTGAGACCTGCTAGATGATACCATTGCCATCTCCTCACATCACTCAATTAATCTACCTCGCCTATTATCTCTGTTTCCTCTCCCTCGCTGAAACTTCGGTCCTCTCTCACAATCTTCAGTACCAATTAACAAACTACATTCATCTATATACTACTCAGTTCTGAAGTTTTATTCATATCAGCATTAGAATTTTATTCTTATTACCCTTATTACTCTCCACATGCAACTAACTGATCTCCGGTTTGGTAATGTGACGGCTGCTAGTATCCAGAAACCCTACTGTCTTGAAACAAACGTTTCATTCAAATCCTGAGACATACAAACTCACAACCAACTGCCAACTGACTGGAAGTAGTCAGTCGAGTGGCTAGACCTCCATCCATTGGATATTACCGAACACCTGGAACCGTACCGAAGGAACAAGAATCGAGCGCGAAGAAATCAAATTGGTTAACACTAGCTCGTGAAAAAGATAATGGATATTGGATGGAAATGAATCTGGACTAGCGTCAGACTTAACCACCTTGGAACGTGACCATAAAGCACAAGGGACAACTATTGCATGCCGGCCTTTTTATAGAAAGTTAGTGTGTTAGCTCTGCTATTCATATGACCTTACTGCGAAAGACTGAAATCCGTAGGGTAAGGTGAGGTGTGACATTTTTTTTTATAACCCCTTCCTTTCTTGTGTGAAGATAGCATTTTACATACTAATCAAGAAAAATGATTGACAAATTGGGTGAACTGGTTATGCCTGAAGATAATTTTCAACAACACAGTATCATAGTGAATGACTTGCATTGATGCAAAGCTAAAGAACAAGAGTATTACAAAAGCACTTCCATTATTTGTAAACTGATCTTTTTACTTACATAATTATATGATTATGTAGAGTTAAACTGTTTGGACAATATGAAACATATTTTTGCTTAATTCAGAGTTCTTACAAGCATGATCTAGCGAAACAGACCAATGCCGGTGAGCTAACTGAGCCTAGCAGGTCGTTAATAAATATAAGGAAGAGGAGTGGGCCTATGATGGTGCCCTGTGAAACTCCCGATGTGAATACTCGCCAACTCGTGTGCACTGTTTACCTTGGTGCGAAAATTGTATTCTCAAGGTAGTTTCTGAGCCAAGATAGGAGTACGTCAGTGAAGGCTATTTCCACAACCTTTTCGATTAGGCGTGCGTGAGGTATTGTGTCGAAGGCTTTTGCAAAGTCGAGAAATATTATGTGCACCGGTAATTTACGGTCCCATGCGATGAGGAGATTAGATGCACACGACCTGCCTTTCCGAAACCCGTGTTGAGCATCATGTAGTATGTACTCCCTCATTTGTTCGTCCACTAGCCCTTCCATAACTTTTGATAATATTGGTAGTAGTGCGACTTGTGTGTAACATGCTGGGTCCTTTCTATCTCCTCCTTTAGAGATTGGAGAGAGAGTAGCTTGTTCCCATTTAGCTGGGAATTCGTATGACTCGAGTGAATGCCCGAACAGGTCGCATAGCGGTGAACGGAAGACTTCAACACACTGTTGCAAGACTATAGGGCTGATTTCGTCACAACCTGATGATGATGAAAGTTCATCTTCGGTGCCTGAGAATATGTCGAGTTTCTTGATGGAAAACTCAAAGAATATCACTTCGAATCGCAGGAATCCACTGCACGTAAAAGCTACGAAGTGTCTGCAGTCTATTCTATTTTATTCTATTTTCAGCGCTTGGATTCATTTTCGAGACTGTTCTATGTTTGAATGTGGAGTTGATGTCATTGTTTTTTGTATATGATTGCCTTTACCAGGAGTTCTGCGGCATCGCAGTAGTAATTTGTTTAGCCATTAGGACCGATAAACCATGAAAGCTTGACTTTGGGTTGTCAAAACGGTTCTGTATGAGAAAGTTAACGTATGAGATCGGCGATAAACTAGTCATCAGTTTTAATTGCATATGAAGGCGGATCTTTTAGCTCCTTTCAATATTGGTGCCTCGCTTGTTTTAACTGCCTATGTACGCTGTCATAACACAGATAAACGTAAAAACAGTTCACGCAAGTGAAGAAACAATTCGCATTAGGCGATTTTGTACTGCTTGTTACTCTGTTATCTAATGTCTTACACTAACTATGGCAAAAATATCATTCACGTTATCCTAAAACTGAAGAACATTTTCTGCCATTTTTACCCGTAGAACTTTACATTCGATTGCTAACAATTTTTTCTAGTCTTACTGAACTTACCAAAATGTAGTGTTTGCTCCTATTATAATTCTTGATGCTGCTACTGGAAATCCTACAAATTCAGAAAGTCTATTGTAGGATCCAAACTGAAATTTCGATTGATGAATGACTTACCAGGTAGCTAGGATACGCGTCTTGCACAGTTTGAAACCAAAACAAGTGATTTTGCATAATTAAGCTTTCTAATATTCATCATAAATATGAATTTACATTATCACCTTAACAAATAATACCACTTAATTATACCACCAACAGTTGTTCAGTTTTTCATATCCACAGCAGATAAATGATATTCTATCCCTCCTGCATAGATCCGATTCGTTCGACAGATAACATTTGGTTGCTCTATGACACAGTATTCCTAAATATGTGGGAGTGTTTCAATATTTTCATCAAAATGGACACATCCAGTCCGTAAAAGCAATCCAATCAAAAGAGAAACAAATCAGTATGTCTGTCACCATATCAGTATTAGCTTAAACAACATAATGCAGTTCAGAAAGAAACATCGAAACTCAATAAAGGCAGAAGAAAGAGAAACTATAATAAAATACAAATGTTATCATCTCAAAATGAAATCGAACACACTAACATAATGTCCAACTGAAGGATTCAATAAGGACAAATTAAAAATGTATAAAAATGTATTTTCACAAACCAAGCCTTCAAAACTGGATTTCAGATCCAGTTTAACCTCAAATACTGTTTCTCGAATCTCCAATATATCAGAACCTAACACCGTTAGATGGAAGTTGGTTATGGGGTCAGAATCCAGAATGGTAAAGATTCACCGACAACGTATATATATATATATATATATATATATATATATATATATATATATATATATATATATATATATATATATATATATATATATATATATATATATATATATATACAGTCAAGACGACCATGAATGTTAATCAATCGGAAACTCCACGTGAAATATGTAAAATCGTACAGCAAGGACGACCATATATAATGATCGATAGGAAACGACATGTGACAAATGTGGAAATTCTGGAAATAGGTGAAAATATACTGCTTTACGTATAATGATAGAATTACGATTACAGAATAATTTGTGGAATATTCTGATGAATATCCTAACACCTCCATGATTCTAAAAGGATCAGGATACACTGGAACATTTTCAAAGGTGAGGAACGACACCAGTTCGAGGACTAAAATTCAAGCCTCAACAAAACAGCTGGTTATTTATTTGCCCCAAAGCTTTCGAAATCAGCCACGGTGTTTGCAAGAATGACAACAAAACTAGAGCAGTGCCGGAAGTCAGACTACGACAGTGTAGGTACTCATAGAAAAGCAGCTAAATGAAAGTTCTCTCGATCCTTATCTTTCCGTGGATCAGGTGACGAATTGATTGTCGCTGTCACTGAATCGTCCAAAGTAATGAAATTCATTTCAGTATTTAAGAGTCTCGTTTATCCGATTCGATTGATTTTTCTGTACACTAAGTGCTTACGGTCTTCGGTTTATTGTCTTAGTGAAGGTTTGTAGTTATACGCATATATCTTCATTGTTCCTCAAAATAGTTACTCACTGAGGAGTGATTACAAAGTGAAAATTGTCCAAAAGCATTCTCTCATAGATTCTACTTTGTTTTGATATTCTTAAATCATTAAAATATTGATAGAAATATTTATTCTCAAGTAAAACAGTGTTACATGAGGCACACGAGGGTACAGGCGAATAAAGATTATTACAAATACCTCCAGATTAATCGTAATAGTTTGACGTATACTCCCTTCAAATACTATATATACATGCAATCACTTTACCACCGGTGATCTGATTACGGACTTGTCTTCACTATCGTACTTAAATGCAGGTGTTCAGTCAGTGTTCTAATACACAAAAAGAAGTGCCGAGTAATAATATGTTTGTTTTATCCATACCTTCATCTGCTGAGTCATGAATCGGCTTTAAACAAGAATATTTATGGTTCTTCCCTTCACCGCTATTTCTTTATTACTCTTTTTCAGCACCATCCTAATCCTTAAAAATAATAAGCCTTGCTATTGCCGAAGACGTGGTTGCATAACTCAGGATCCTGTCGAATTGTTATGTGGTGGATCTGAACAGGAAGATCATTGCACATTGACCCCATCACTTCTTGTTATATACAGACATGAGTTTAACTGTCGTTGATTTTCAGCCGACAGCGGTTTGTCTTAACACAAACAACATAACGCAATAAATATCGTGTTGTGCATTTCACAGCCTTAAACACTGCTTTCAGTTTTATGTGAAAATGTTGGCACACTATGAGGAGCTGGTGTGTCATGTGAAATATTTTTACAACT